TGGTCTCAAACTCCTGGACTCAAGTAATCCTTCCATCTCGGCCTCCCAAATTGCTGAGATTACGTGTGAGCCATCATGCCTGGCCCTTTATATATACAGTGGTCACCCTGGCCAGCCCAAGACACCAGGAAGACGGCATGCCAGGATAGCCACATCACCTAGTTACATTTTGGTCAAGAGCGTGTCTGGGCTGGGAAACAGAGGAGGTGAGGATGGCAATAGGGCTCTGCCATCCCGCGTCCTTATCAGTTTATTCCATGTCCAATGAGAACCGATTACATGCCAGAGTTAATTTGGAGGACATCTCTAGAATGTTGCCACCAGGCTCTGGCTTGGATGTGGATGAGGATGCAGGGGGCAACAGAGTCAGGAGCCATCAGAGTCCCACAAACTGAAATAAGCATCGGAACAAATGAAGAAACAGGAAAAAGGTCCCTTACTCGAACCCCAAATCCACTCCACAGACAGTAGTTGGGAAGGGCTTGGGGCTTTTCTTGACAGGAACCGCTACCTGATCACTTATCTGATCGCTGGCTGTATTAATAGAGGTAGATCATATAGAAAGAGGGAGGGGATGGGCCAGATCTTTAGCATTGCCCAGACCACAGTCAGCAGCAGATTCAGTTTGTGTGCTGTACGACAGGAGACAGAGGCACAGTGGAACAAGTCTTGGGCAGGGGCTGTAATTTGGGGTCCCTGGAAAGGATCTGAAAGGGAAGGAATACTTGAGAAGAAAAATCTAGGGAGGATGTGGATGCCACCTTCAGATCTATAGCAGGGGCACCCCAGGGAGAGCACCCACAGGTTCTTTATGGCCTGGAACCAAACCACAGGAAAGAGAAGGACTCTAACAGTTAGGGCTGCCTGAGATGGGTAGAGCTGTTTGGGGAAGCTAGTGAGCTCACCGTCACAGGAGGTATGCAAGCTGAGGCTGGAAGCTGAAGCTAGGGGGACTTTTCAGGTCCCTTAGGGCCTGAGAGTCACTCATGGCTCCAATAGGAATGTGAATGGTGTGTGGAAGAACGAGATGCGAGATACTGATCTGGGGGGACAGGGAGGCTTGTGGAAGGAGGTGGCATCGAGGAAGAGGGGAATGTCACCTTCATGGAATCAGCATCCCGGGCAGAGGGATGTGCCTGGGGGAAGCCTGGGGGCAGAGGGTGGATTGTAGGGCCAGGAACCGGTTGTAGGTGTGGTGGAGTGGGGTCTGATCCCAGGTGAGGGCAGCGGGATAAAGAGCAGAGCTAGGGGTGAAAATTCCCAAGAATGAAGTAGGAGGATGTGGGGAGGAAAGGCCCCCTTGGCCCATCCCCTCTAGTTTTGCTCCGAGCTGCGGCTGGTTTGACCATGCCTCAGAGGTCAGGCCCTCAACCCTCCAGCTGGCTTTGGGACTAATCTCAGTGCCACCTCCAGGGTAGACTTGACCGGGGTGGCCCCCTCAGAGCCTGGCCCTGGTCTCCCTTTCCCCAACCCCACCCTCATAGACGGAGGGTCCAGAGGAGGATGTGAGCATCTCCCTTGCCAGCCCTTCTGTTAGAGAAGCTTCCTGGTCCAGCCTTCAGCCTTTGGGGAAGATAGCAGGTCAGAGCTGGCCGGATGCCTGGAGACAATCTGCCCCCATTACACAGATGGGCAAGCTGAGGTCAAGAGAGGCACCAGACAGGGGCCAGGGGTCTCTGAGTGCAGGACGGGTTCGGTGGGGTTGGTAGTGCCGCTTGTCTCTGGCCATGGGAAGGGAGCTGGATCATTCTCCATCCACCGTTTGTCATCTACCCTGATCCTCTGAGCACCAGGGCTGAGAGGGCAGGACGCTGGATGGCAGAAGCTCCTGGGGCCACTTCCCAACCTGGCAGCCTGCCCAGGAAGAGGAACTGGGCTCCTCCTGGCAGCGCTCTGCCTCAGTTTCCCTAGGGAGGGCTCCTCTGACTCAACTGCTAGGCCTGTCACGGTCTAGAAGCGTGAAAACGGCTCCTGGATTTTCTGTGTCTGTAGGGAGCTTGGTAGGGGAGGGGGTGCCACCTGGTGACAGCTGAGGCACTCGGTGGGGAGTGGGAACGAGGATTTATTTTAGCTGCTAGGGAGGTGGTGTGATATCTTAAAGAGAGGAGGCCCCTCTGAGCCGCCTCTATCAAAGCTCCTAACTACCCCCTCTCCCGATGAGTCCCCACTTTGATGAGGTCATGGGAGCTGTGAGCCCCAGGGGCACAGCCCCTCACAGAACATGCCCAGGCCGGGCGCGGTGGCTCACACCTGTACTCCCAGCACTTTGGGAGGCCTAGGTGGGAAGACCACTTGAGCCCAAGAGTTCGAGACCAGACTGGGCAACATAGTTGGACCCTGTCTCTACAAAAAAAAAAAAAAAAATCAAAAACTTAGCTGGGTGTGGTGGCTTGCATCTGCAGTCCCAGCAGCTTGGGAGGCTGAGGTGAAAGGATCTCCTGAGCCCAGGAGGTCGAAGCTGCAGTGAGTTATGTTTATGCCACTGCACTCCAGCCTGGGTGACAGAGAGAGACCCTGTCTCAATCAATCAATCAATCAATCCATTCATCAAACAAACATACATGCCCTGCTTCCCCACTCTTTCTCAGCCCTCCCTCCATGCAGCCAGGTGTCACTGTCCCCATTTCACAGAAGAGTAAACAGAGCCAGAGAGGTCAAGGCCCAGCCTGATGAGTCCCCTCAGCTCTCTCAGCCCCTCAACCTCCGCCTGCCTCCATCCTGATGAGAGAGCACCGAGGTGGGCCGAGCCAGGCAGTGGCCGCTCCCATGAGGCACTCAGAAATGAGGTGGGAACAAGACCAGATGCGGTGGCTCATGCCTGTAATCCCAGCACTTTGGGAGGCCAAGGTGGGTGAATCACCTGAGGTCAGGAGTTCGAGACCAGCCTGGCCAACATAGTGAAACCCCGTTCTCTACTAAAAATACAAAAATTAGCTGGGCATGGTGGCGGGCACCTGTAATCCTAGCTACTCGGGAGGCTGAGGCAGAAGAACTGCTTGAACCCAGGAGGTGGAGGTTGCAGTGAGCCAAGATCGTGACACTGCACTCCAGCCTGGGTGACAGAGCAAGACTATCAAAAAAAAAAAAAAAAGAGGTGGGAACAAGCCCTGAGCCCCAGGCTGAGAGACCTCAGTCCCTGCCCCAGGGTGGCTATCCCGGATATCCTTGCCTTGGCTGCAGAGAGAGACCTGGCCTTGCCAGCAGGGTGGGCTGACCCTGGCCGACTCATGGTGTGAGCTAGACAGTAATGATTGTGCCCGGCATGCCGAGAAGTCAGAAGTATAATTACCCCTACCTCATTGATGGGGGCGGCTTTTGTACAGCTGCTCCTGGGGCAGTGGGGTGGGGCCTGCACCTGTGGCTGAGGCCTAAGGCAGGACCCGAGCCAAGTGGCAACATGACTGCCTCCCATGCCTGCTGGGCCTAGGTCTGGGACTGGAAGGAGGCAGACCAAGGTCCAATGTCAAGACTGACAGGGAGGCCAAGTGCAGTGGCTCACACCTACAATCCCAGTGCTTTGGAAGGCTAAAGCAGGAGGATTGCTTGAGGCCAGAAGTTCAAGACCAGCCTGGGCAAGTGGACCCTGTCTCTTCAAAAATAAAAATTAAATGTAAAAAACTGTTTTTAAAAAAAGACTGACAGGAACTGGGCGCGGTGGCTCACGCCTGTAATCCCAGCACTTTAGGAGGCTGAGGCAGGAAGATCAAGAGGTCAGCGGATCAAGACCATCCTCGCTAACACGGTGAAACGTCTTCTCTACTAACAATACAAAAAATTAGGGCCGGGCGCGGTGGCTCAAGCCTGTAATCCCAGCACTTTGGGAGGCCGAGACGGGCGGATCACAAGGTCAGGAGATCGAGACCATCCTGGCTAACACGGTGAAACCCCATCTCTACTAAAAAATACAAAAAACTAGCCGGGCGAGGTGGCGGGCGCCTGTAGTCCCAGCTACTCGGGAGGCTGAGGCAGGAGAATGGCATAAACCCGGGAGGCGGAGCTTGCAGTGAGCTGAGATCCGGCCACTGCACTCCAGCCTGGGCGACAGAGCGAGACTCCGTCTCAAAAAAAAGAAAAAAAAAAAATTAGCCAGGCGTGGTGGCGGGTGCCTTTAGTCCCAGCTACTCGGGAGGCTGAGGCAGGAGAATGGCATGAACCTGGGAGACGGAGCTCACAGTGAGCCGAGGTGGCACCACTGCACTCCAGCCTGGGCGACAGAGCAAGACTCTGTCTCAAAAAAAGAAAAGAAAAAGAAAAAAAAGACTGACAGGAGATTCCTAAGAGATATGATCCATCCCTCGTCGGGGCTGGGGTTTAGTGGTGCCCAGGCCTGGGACAGAGTGGGCAGGTCTACCCTTGCAGGGCCCACTCTGAAAAGGGAGCTTGGGGCCTCTGGGCTCCACCTGAATTAAAACCACTGGGGCCAGGCGTGGTTGTACACACCTATAATTCCAGCTACTCAGGAGGCTGAGGTGGGAGGATTGCTTGAGCCCAGGTGTTCAAGGCTGCAGTGAGCTGTGATTGCACCACTGCACTCTAGCCTAGGTGACACAGCAAGACCTCAACTCTAAAAATGTGTGTGTGTGTGTGTAAACCACAGGGTCAAAAGAGTAGAGAATGCACTTTCCAGGCAGCTGTCCCAGGGGCCTAGGGGACCCAGAGGGCCCAGACAGAGCGCTGGCCCCAGGCTCGCTTGCCTCCCCAGCTGCAGGGAGGGGGCAGGCAGATAGGCAAGGGAGGAAGTCCCTGGCCTGGAGGCTGAGACTTGGCCTTGACACCAGTGTGCCAGGCAAGGTCCCTGTCTCTGTGCCGGGTCCCCAGCGGTCTGCCAGATCTTACTGTGGCTGGGAGCGGAGGATACAGCCAGGCCTGTTCTTGTCCCTGCCCAGAGGCCCCCAGGGAGAGGGGGAGGGGTGGGGCCCTGGCGCTGCACCCTGGGCACCTGTGTGTGTAGAGGTAGGTCCTGTACATACGTCCGTTCATGTGTGCACAACCCCACACAGGCCAAGGACAGCGATGATGATGATGATGTCACTGTCACCGTGGACCGAGACCGCTTCATGGATGAGTTCTTTGAACAGGTGGGAGCCAGCACACCCCACCCTTCCCGCACACTAGCAGACCTCGGGGGGCCACTCTCACCTCTGAGCCAGGTTCAGGGATCTTTCACACCTGCACCTGGCTCAGCAGCTCCAGGGTGCCAACGAAGGAACCGTTTTGTGGGTGATAAATGGAAGCTCAGAGCGGAGCTAAATGTGGGATCGCACTCTTCCCCATCCGGGTTGGAAGGACGCACCCCCACTGCACCCCAGCACCCGGAGCCTGGCCCGTCCTCCCCCTGAGCCCTGACCGTAGCCCTACTCTGGGCCATGCCTGGGCCCCAGAAGCGTTCTCCCCCGATTTCCTCCTCCTGATCACCCGGCTTTGGTCCGCAGGTGGAGGAGATTCGAGGCTTCATTGACAAGATCGCAGAGAACGTGGAGGAGGTGAAGCGGAAGCACAGTGCCATCCTGGCCTCCCCCAACCCCGATGAGAGTGAGTATATGGGGTGGGGGACAGGTTTCAGGCCCCACAGGCCTCCGGGAGGGGCTGCTGCCAGGGAGCCCTCACAGGACCTCAATAGCCTTCATGGCTGGTGGGTGTAGGAGTGCCTGGGCAGGCCAGGGTCAGGAGAGTATCAGGAGAAGCCTTAGGAAATGCAGTTGTCCCCGGCCTGGAATTGGGGGGTCAGAACCCAGCGTCCCAGGCCAGCCAGACCAGGTCTCCCCGAAGACCTGGGTGATGGGAGAGGCAATCGGCCCCACCCTTCTCAGGTAAACTGGCTTTTTTTTTTTTTTGAGACAGAGTCTTATTCTGTCACCAGGCTGGAGTGCAGTGGCATGATCTCAGCTCACTGCAACCTCTGCCTCCTGGGTTCAAGCGATTCCCCTGCCTCAGCCTCCCAAGTAGCTGGGATTACAGGTGCCCACCACCACACCCGGCTAATTTTTGTATTTTTAGTAGAGACGGGGTTTCACCATGTTGGCCAAGACGGTCTTGATCTCCTGACCTCGTGATCCGCCTGCTTCAGCCTCCCAAAGTGCTGGGATTACAGGCATGAGCCACTGCGCCCAGCCGAACTGGCTTTTTTCTAAGGCAACTGGGCTGGCTGCAGCCCTGGGCTTTTGGGAGCGAGGGAAGGAAGTAGGGAAGGAGGGAGCTGTCTGTGATCAATAGGAAGGCCTCTCAGTCCAGCCCCGCCCCGCCCCTCGCCTCCCAGGGGAGCAGATGGCAGCTCTGAGGCGTCAGCGCTGTGGGAGGGCAAGCTGGCCAAGCAGGCAGAGCTTCCGGAAGGAGCTGGCAGCCCTGGCACCTGGCCACGTGGCACCCCGGGGCGGGCATTCTCAGGGCTCTAGGAAGTCAGCCCTCTCCCTCCGCACTGGGAGCCTGTGTGTCAGGCTTGCGCTCCGGCCCCAGACAGGTTCCCCCAACCCGGTCTTCGCGTTCCTGTTGAGATGTTGGTTACTACACTGAGAGGTGCCAGGCTGATGGCATAGGTGCCCTTCCCTGGAGGGGGGCTCACCCTGAGTCCCAGGGATGCAGCCATCAGGTGTTTGAGGGAGGCAGGCCCTGGCCACGCAGGTGCCCGAGGTCAGATTTTTTTTTTTTTTTTTTTTTTTTTTTTTTGAGACGGAGTCTGGCTCTGTCGCCCGGGCTGGAGTGCAGTGGCCGGATCTCAGCTCACTGCAAGCTCCGCCCCCTGGGTTTACGCCATTCTCCTGCCTCAGCCTCCCGAGTAGCTGGGACTACAGGCGCCCGCCGCCTCGCCCGGCTAGTTTTTTGTATTTTTTAGTAGAGATGGGGTTTCACCGTGTTCACCAGGATGGTCTCGATCTCCTGACCTCGTGATCCGCCCGTCTCGGCCCCCCAAAGTGCTGGGATTACAGGCTTGAGCCACCGCGCCCGGCCCAGATTTTCTTCTCGCCTCCAGCACGGCCTCCCGATCTGGGACCCCTCACCCCCAAGCCCACTGGCATCTTCAAGAACCCAGAGTAAATTTTTCCACAGCCCCAAATTGTGCATGAACCCAGGTCAATGCCACACCAACTAAGCCAGTGCCCCGCCCTCAGAAGGCAAAATGGGTCAGGTGGGAGCAGGGTGGACTGCCTCAGGAAGGGCAGGAGGAGAGAGGGACACCCAGGGCTCACCACGCTGCGCTCCTCGCCCTAGAGATTTGTTAGATGGCAGCATGAGACGGATGTCTCTGCGCCCAGAGGTATCTGGGTCACCGTGTGTCCCTGTGTGGGCTGTTCCTGCTCAGGGTCAGGAGGTGGCTGACTGTGGGGTGGGACGGAGGGCTCTGAAGAGCAGGGGAGCGGGCCTCTCGCTGCTGGCAGGTGGGGCGGGCATGGGGCAGCAGAGCTGTCTCCTCCACACCTTGGGTCGTGCAGGCCACCTCCTGCACCGTCTCCTGCTGCGGTGTCATGCACAGTCATAGGGACTTGTTCTGAGTCACCACCCGTGAGCTGAGCAGTCCCAGGCTCTCGCTAAGGGGAGGGGGCTCATGTTGGGGGTTCTAGGGCACAGGCGGTACAGAGTTAAGGAGAAGTCTCGAGGAAAGATGGCAGTGAGTGGGGGGCTCTCCTGGGCAAGGCGGGCTCTGCCTCCTCTGGGGGCTGCCATCCGGCCTGGGCTATTTTGGGTCTGAGCAAAAGAGGCTGAGACGTCAGAGCAGCTGGTAACCGACTTTTCCTTTGTTCCTACGGATGAGGCGCCCTCCTCCGCGCCTCGGAACCCCCACTTCCCCGCTCCACCCCACCGCATTCCACTTGGGAGGTGACCCCATCTGGGGCCTTCCTAATAGCCACTCTCGATACCCCTCCCTGTCCCCTCTAGGACAAACCCCAGCCCCAGAGGCAAGCAGAGGGGCGGGTGGGAAGGTGACAGCCGGAGCTCAGTCCCAGCTTCTCCTGGGGCGGAGTCCTGGGGGTGTTCTGAGACTGGGGTGTTGCCAGGAGCACCCCCAGGGGAGGCAGCTGTCATGCCCCACTTTTCCAGCCAGCTCCTCTCAGGCAGGGGGGCAAGCTGGGCACCCCCATGACCTCTGCCAGCTTTAGGGAGATGGTTCTAGTTGGAACAAGGGTCACAAAACACTATGCCACCACCCTCCTCCAATTTCACCAGGGCCCCAGCTACCTGCCACGGCCAGGGCCGACTATGCCCACCTCTTTGGACCTCAGGGCCCACATCAGCGCCCACCCAGGCCATCCACCCCTTGCCCCCTTCCACCCACCGGGCACTTAGCACCCCGGGAGGCGCAGCTTTGTGGGAACGGCAAGGTCTGCCCCACCCAGAGTGTTTGAGCCTGCGACTCAGGGAGTGCAGGATGGTCCCCTGTCAGCTCCCTGGCTGGCTGCCTACCCTTCTGAGCCACCAGGTAACACCAGGTGAGCCCGCACCGCGCCCCCCCCCCCAACTTCAACTACAGCAAGCATCAAGTCACTGTTCCCGGTGCCAACTCCAGCATCGCCAGCTGCTCCACAATTATTTCTGCCTTAAATTTAGACCCATCTGTTATCTCCAGGGGGTGGGGGCGCCGGCAAAGGAGGAAGGGAGGCTCCTCCGAAGACAGCACAAGAGGGGGTGAGGCTGCAGCTGGTGCATCCCTGGCCCAGAATTAGGGAGGGGGCAGGCAGAGCCTTAGCCAGGGGAGCAGGGGAGAACCGGGATCTACCCAGAGCCCCCATTGGGCCCCCTGTGCTGGAGGCTGAGTCTGCACATCAGTCCCCGGCAGAGCCTAGGGGGCCGCCCCCACCCTTTCTACCTCCCCAGAGACGAAGGAGGAGCTGGAAGAACTCATGTCCGACATAAAGAAGACAGCAAACAAAGTTCGTTCCAAGTTAAAGAGTGAGTCAGGCTTGTCTGGGGGTGGGTGGGGGGCATTCTAGGCCTGCTTCCTCTGGGGAGCCCATGGGGTTTTGCTCACCCTGAGGGGGTGCGCCGGATCTTGCTTTCCTTTCTGAGGGTGGCGTCATGTGCCCATTCACTCAACAGCTACTTGGCAAGGCCCGTTGGTGCCAGGCTCTGGGTTGGGCCTGGGGACACACCCGCCCGAGGCTTTGTCGAGGGAGGGCTCCACTCTGGACGGGCACTGCCCCTCACCTCTGCTGAAGAGGGTTAAAGAAGTGGCCAGCACTTCCTGGTCTCATGCAGAAGCCCTGTATGCTGGGTGAACGGACACGTACACCCCGTGAGTGCCAAGGCCTCGGGGCCACATGCCCTGCAGCAGGGGCCCCCTGGCTCTCCCCGCTGTGGGCACGGCCCCTCGTACACAGCCTCTCTGAGCAGAAAGGGAGCGGTACCCAGGCACAGAGTGGCCGGAGCTGCCAGACCTCACACACACTCAGAGCTTGGAGTGGGTGTGCATTTACACACGTGCACACACCACACAGCGTCACAGCTGGAATGCCTGGCACTGACCCCACCAGCCACAGGCCACACACATACCCTAGGAGATGTGGGGAGGCAAACAGATGCAGGATGTGCGGGGCGGGGGCGGGGGTAAAGGGGGCTGGTTTTGACTCAGCACCCACCTGTGCCCCCAGGCATCGAGCAGTCCATCGAGCAAGAGGAAGGCCTGAACCGCTCCTCTGCTGACCTGAGGATCCGGAAGACACAGGTGCGGTCGGGAGTCTAGGGTGGGCGGGCACCTGAGACTCTGGGTCGGTCCCCGCGGGGCCTGATCCCTGCACCTGCATCTCGGGCCCCCAGCACTCCACGCTGTCCAGAAAGTTTGTGGAGGTCATGTCGGAGTACAACGCCACGCAGTCCGACTACCGCGAGCGCTGCAAGGGCCGTATCCAGAGGCAGCTGGAGATCAGTGAGCTGGGGGCGGGGCCTGGGGCTGCCTCAGTGAGCTGGGGGCGGGACCTGGAGTGGGCGAGGCGTGGAGGGGCGGGGCCCGAGGCTGCTGCTTAGTTAGGGGCCCGAGGGGCGGGGCCCGAGGCAGCCGCTGAGTTAGGGGCTGGAGAGGCGGGGGCCTGAGTCTGCTGCTGATCTCGGGGCTGGGGGGAGCCCGGGCCTGGGACTGTAGGGGGCGGGGCCCGATGCTGCTGCTGAACTCCCCAAGAGGGCTGGGCTCAGTGTGACCCCACTCGCTTGCAGCCGGCAGGACCACGACCAGTGAGGAGCTAGAGGACATGCTGGAGAGTGGGAACCCCGCCATCTTTGCCTCTGGGGTGAGTGTGGGCCCCACCCCTCCTGCCATGATCCCCTCACCATGTTCCCCACGTTCATGACCCCTAGTGCAGAGTCTGGACAGTATGTGGACACAGACCCCTTGTAAGGCAGGTTTTAAGGCAGGAGGAGTCCCAGAGAGGGGAAAACACAAGGCTGAGGTCACATAAATGTCTGTGGCAAAGGTGGACTCAAGACCCCTGTCTCCTGATGCCTCCCAATTGGACCCACTTCCTTTCGCCGGCCGCCAGGGGCTTCTCCTCTTATCCGTGGGCCCTTTTCCCCTCCTGGAGGACATTTGGCCATCTCCGTGTTCACGTGAAGCCGGGCAGGGGTGCTCCTTGAAGGAGGTGGCACATAGGTGTTCGAGGCAGGCTTGGGGTTGTGAGTTCCAGGAGAGAGCGGGGGAGCAGTCACATTCAGTGTGGGGGGAAGGGACGGGAGAAAGGCGGTTCCAGGCCTGGGTCCACGGGGCAGTCAACTTAGGCTCTGCAAAACGCTGGTGGTAAGGACTGTCACTGAGCACTCGCTTTGTGGCCAGCACAGGTGGAGAGTGTCACTAGCCGCAGGTTACAGGTAGGAGATTGGGTCGCAGAGAAATTACATAACAGCTAGCAGGTGGCAGAGCCAGGTAGCAAGGCGGGCAGGGCTGTGGCTGGGGAGGAAGCCTCGGGTCCCCTTCCGGAGCAGCTCTGCCCACCCCACACGCCCTCCCCGTCGGCCCTCTGCCCTGCCCCTCAGCAAGCCTCTGGGTCCCAGCCCCCTGCTCCCACCCCCAGATCATCATGGACTCCAGCATCTCGAAGCAGGCTCTGAGCGAAATTGAGACGCGGCACAGCGAGATCATCAAGCTGGAGAACAGCATCCGTGAGCTGCACGACATGTTCATGGACATGGCCATGCTTGTGGAGAGCCAGGTGAGCGCCGGGCCCCCTGCCCTCCACTCCAGCCCACACCAGCACCCAGGGCTGCACTAACCTCACCCTTTCTGCCCGACACGCTGCCCTGCCGGGGAGACCCCAAGTTCTCAGGTAACCAATCACCCGCTGTTGAAACTGCCGCCAGGACCCTGCCCACCTGAAGGTCCCTGTCCTCTGCATGGCTCTGCTTGACCTTCAAGGACCCCAGGCCCTGCATGGCCCCACCCCTTACACCCCGTCATCTCTCATTCCCCTACTGTTTCCTCATGGGGCCACTGTGGGCCATGCATTTCCCCAGTGACCAGGACAGCTGAGGGACCTGCTTCCTGGAGTGAATAGCTTTTGGGCAAAAGGGCTGCCAAAGAACAAATGGGAGGTTCTTCAGTGGGGCTCAAACTTGAATGAGTCACCTGGAGGACTTATAAGTTTCCAGGTCCCTGTCCCAGAGTCTGGCAGGTGAGGGAAGGCCGGGAAGATACCTGTCTGACAAGCTCAAGGGTGGTGCTGCAGCCACTATGGTTCCAAAGTTACACTCGGAGTAACACTGTGCCCACGACGGGGCGGCTGCCTTTGTTTGAGTGAGTGGTCAAGGAGGGCCTCTCAGGAAGGGGCATTTGAACTGATGCCAGAAAACGGTGAAAAGGAGCCAGCTGTGAAGACTTCACAGGGGAAGATGAAGAGCTGGCCCCAGCAACACTAAGGTCCCAAGCCCAGCAAGACCCAGACTTATTTCAGGAACAGAAAAAGGAGGTCCATGGTGCTGGGGCACAAGGAGTGGTCAGAACTGAGATGAAGCTGGAGACGAGGTGGACGGGGCCTTGGCAGGCAGTGTGCTGAGGAATTTGCAGTCTCTTCTAGATTGGAGGGGGTTTGGGTTGTTTGTTTTTTGTTTTAGCAAAAGATGGGATCTTGCTGTGTTGCCCAGGCTGGTCTCGGAACTCCTGGGCTCAAGTGATCCTCCCACCTCAGCCTCCCAAAGTGCTGGGATCATAGATGTGAGCCACAGCACCCAGCCAGGTTGGAATGTTTTAAGTATGGGAGTGACGTGACCTTGGTTAGGAAGCAGGGAGGCCGTCAGGAGGCTGCTGCTGCCACCATCTGGTGAGAAACAGACCACAGTGACGTGGATGCCAGTGAAGGCAACAGATGGACTTGGAGAGGGAGACACGCCCTAGCAGTCTTGTGGGGCAGTGTCATGGTCAGATTGGCCTCTGGGGTATCATGGGACCAGATCACAGGACTCAAGAGGGCTGTGGGGCTGGGCAGGGTTTTTTTTGTTTTGTTTTGTTTTTTGTTTTTGTTTGAGAGTCTGGCTCTGTCGCCAGGCTGGAGTGCAGTGGCGGGATTTCAGCTCACTGCAACCTCTGCCTCCCGGATTCAACTGATTCTCCTGCCTCAGCCTCCCGAGTAGCTGAAACTACGGATGCGTACCATCATGCCTAGCTAATTTTTGTATTTTTAGTAGAGTCAGGGTTTCACCATGTTGGCCAGGATGGTCTCAAACTCCTGACCTCAAGTTCTTAAAAGACTGAAGACCCCAGACAGCAGACAGAGCTGGATGGAGCTGTCATGCCTGAGGATGTGGGTGTGGGGAGGCTCACCCATGGCCACCTCAGGAGCTATGGCCAGGGCAGGCCCAGACTCTAGCACACCCACTCCTGCTCCCACCTTCCTCTGCCTGACACTGCCACCTCTCTGACTGTTCTCTGCATGGTCCCCAACCCTCAGCTGAGACTGCATGGCCAGCTCTACCCCCAGGATTGCTGCTCTGCGGGGAGACGTGGGAGCTGCCTTGGGGAGCCTGCCTGGCCCTCTAACAGCCCCCCCAGGGTGCCTGGGCCAGATGAGAAGCTGTACCCCATCCTCCTCATGCCCCCTTTTTCTCTCTGGCCTCAGGGTGTTTTCCTGAAGTCCTGCCTCGAGCCCCAACCCAACCCTGAGGAGGGGGCCCTCTGGAGCTCGGGTGCCCCCCGCCCCACAGGGGGAGATGATTGACAGGATCGAGTACAACGTGGAACACGCGGTAGACTACGTGGAGAGGGCCGTGTCTGACACCAAGAAAGCCGTCAAGTACCAGAGCAAGGCGCGCCGGGTCAGTAGCCCAGCCCTGCCCAAGCCCATGCCCCAGCACCCATTAGGGACCCCCAACCATCCCACATCCCTCCCCATCTCACCTCTCTCCCTGCTCTCGGGAGCTCCCCATGACAGCCCCCTCGAGGCCGTCACCTTCCCCTGCTTGGATCCCCGGCGACTGTCCAGCCCTCAGCCTTCGCCGTAGTCCCACCCCACCTGACACCACCACTGTCTGAGGCCTCTCCTGCCCGCTCCCCACACAGAAGAAAATCATGATCATCATCTGCTGTGTGATCCTGGGCATCGTCATCGCCTCCACTGTCGGGGGCATCTTCGCCTAGAAGCCACCCAAACTGCCACTCCACTCCGAGTGGGCCACTCTGAGGAGGCCCTGGCTGCTGCTACTTGGCTGGGCTGCCCTCCCAACCCCCGCCTCTGGCTCAGAGCACCCTCCCTCCTGGCCCCCATGCTCCCTTCTCTGCCATGGGCCCTCCGTCCCCGCCCCGTGTCGTGTGCATGATCTCTGTGTGCGTCTGTATGGAAGAGGCAGAGGGAGGCAGCCAGCGGGGCGGGACGCAGTGTGTGCAGCGAGGGGCAGACCCAGGCAGGGCCGCCAGGGTGACACAGGCCATCCTTGCCTTCAGTAACTCGGTGGGACCGGGTTCTCCTCTTCCCTGGGGACCCTAACCTTGCCTCCAACTGACCTGCCCTGTCCTCTGGCCTCTCCAGCTGTCCCCACAAGCAGAGCCCTGAGGGGTGGGGACCAGCTGGCCACATGGTGCTGCTTTTCAGGTTAGGGGAGAGGTGGCCGTGAGGGACAGCCCAGCTCTGAGCCTCAATCGCTGATCACTGCCAGGGAGACTCAGGCTGCCATGGCTCCAGGCTCCCTCCCCTGCCTAGGGGCAAAGTCCATCGGGTCCTGGGCCTCAGCTTCCCTTCTGACATTCCTCCAGCCCCAGGAGCAACCCCTTGGGCTGGGCCTGACCCCAGGTGTCCCTCTGGAAGGGGCTGGTTGGTGCCCCATCTCCAGCCACCCCAGCAGCCAGGGAGGCAGAGCAGGCTGCTGTCAGGCCCTCGAGCCAGCGTTGCATGTTTGGGATGGTGGCCCCTGCTGTCTTGCGCTCTGGGAAGTCAGATGTCATTTCAGGCCTGCAGTCTCATCCTGCCCTTGCCATCCCCCATCGACGTGCCACGTGGGTGTCAGGTGTCCCGGATGCAGTATTCGGCAGCCAGCCAGGGAGGGCTACCTCGTCCTCCTCACCACCTTGGGGCTTCTCATGGGAAATGTGCCCCCGCCCCAGCACCCCCTCCCTCGTGGACAGGCAGGGAGATGCATGCGAGTGCATGCAGCAGGGGATGGGGCCGTGTCCGTGTGCCCCACCCTCCCTCGGCTTTACTCCTGCCCAGTGACTGTAACCGTCCGTGTTGCCTTCTTGAACAGCGATTCCCCCCAACCCCTTCACCAAAGGTCTTGGTACAACCAGCTGCCCATTTTGTGAAATTTTTATGTAGAATAAACATTTGTATCTGTACCAGGCCTCTGTTCTAGGTTTCTTCCCCAGGTCTCCTGGGGGAAAACCTTAGGAGGGTCCTCGCTGTTGCCCAAGCTGGCCTCCCACCTCAGCCTCCCACGGAGCTGGGACCACAGGTTGTGCCTGGCCTGGCTGCTCTAGACTTCTTGCCATCTGCAGTGTCGCAGTCTTAGAACTTGAGGATGAATAGATGTGGCACTAAGAGGAAGGGCTCAGAGGCGAGGATCCCAGCTCAGCCTCAACCCCACCCTGGACCTTCAACTTCCTCAGACCTGTCTCCTGCCATACAATGGAAAACATCCAGGCCTTACTCCCTGATAACAGGCCCAGAGGTCACACTCGAGGCCTGGAATCTGACACCTGCAGGAGACCCCACTGCAGGGCTTGGATCCTCAGGCCCCAAGCCTCACCCCTCTCCCAGACACCCGGCCCCTCGGGCCCCTGCACCAACTGCCTAATGTCTTAAGCTGCTGAACACCTGATCCAGCTCTGTAGTGCAATGCCCAAGATCTTGCCTCTTCCCACATGCACAAGGCTCAGGCAAACCATTCCACCTCCTCTCCTATCACAGCCTGCCGGGCAACCCCACACGCCCCAGAGCAGTGGACCCGCCCTTTCCCACCACCAGTGACGGCCGAGAGATCGGCCCAAGACATCTGAGCGCTGGGCTGGTTGGCAGCTGACCGTGCAGCAGCTCAGTGCCACAGTTCAGGCCGGGGCCACTGGACTGGCAAGGCCTTCACAGGAAGGGAAGCCAGAGACTGGCCAGCAGGCACCACAAACACATTTCATCCGGGCCCTCTTCCCAACTTCGCTTGCTGTGATTATGGTATAGTTACGTATGAGCCCCAAATTAAAGGACTCTGTTCCTTGCAAATGGAAAGAATGCTTTCATGCACGTTAAGTTTTTTTAAACCTGATTCCTGCCTGGGGAGTTAAGCAGTAGCCCACCAGGAAGAACCGGAGTTTGGTGAGAATCACAGAGCTGGGAGATGCCAGAGCTCCACAAAAGGAATTTTTATTTCTTGCTTTTAAACAAAATAAGATGCTCAAGAGCTTCCCCCCCCCTCCCCGAAACGAAGTCTCATTATGTTGCCCAGGCACGTCTTAAACTCCTGGCCTCAAATGATCCTCCCGCCTCAGCCTCCCAAGGTGCTGGGATTACAGGTGTGAGCCACCACGCCCGGCCCAGAGTACTTTTTTTTTTTTTAACTGCAGAAAACATTTTCAGAACTTTAGAACTTTTCTAAAATACTACTTTGTCAGCTGAACAATATAGAAAAGTACAGAGGCAAGTGCCTGTCCAGAACTGTGTGGTGACTTAGAAGCGGGGCTTGCGCTTGCGGCCGGTGTACTGGGTGTCAGGTCTGACTTCCCTGTGCAAAAAAGGAATAGGACAGTCTCAGAAAAAAAGATCAAAGCAGCCCTGGACCCTTCAAATGCAGGGGAGCTCTTAGTGGCAACAGGCATCCACGCCCCCACCCACCCTGCCAGCTCCCAGGCTGGCACTCACCTGCCCTGGCGCCTGTGCCGCTCCTTCTTCTCCAGCACCCATGCCCGGCTCTTCCTCACCATTCCCCGCCGCGACATCCTGAATGGGACCCTGTGGTGGAGACACAGCAATGAGCTGATGGATGGCTGATGGATGGGGCTGCCCAGCTGGCCCCCACTTGAATCCATGGCAAGCTTACCTCTGAATCTGGTGGCCTCAGATGCCCCTTCCCACAAATGCTCCACCTTCCCTACAACACAAGTCCCCACTCTGGACACCCTCCTTCCCAATAACATCCACCTGGGCCACAGAGGTTGTTGGGTGGGGAGAGGAGAGGGCTGGGCCAGGCATGGAGATCTCAACGCCAGCAAGCAGTCTGTTCCCTCTTTGGGAAGCAGCTAAGCAGCAGTAAGCAGGCCGCTTTCTACCAATGCAGTGACACATCATCACCTGAACTTCAAGAGCACAGTGGACAGTTCACGGCAGGAGCTTAGGGTCCACAGCTCGGGGGCAGGAAGACAGGGATGGAAAGGAGGGGCTGAAAAGGAAGGACTGAGGGGCATGAAGGAAGAAGGAAAGAGGGCTGGGGTAACCCCGAACACGCCTGTGACCATCCGTAGAAACCAGAGACAGGGCAAGCCAAGGAGCTGCCATTTGGGTGCCTGAGCCTGATGGGCCAGTACAAAGCAGGAGCAGTTGCAGAGCAGGACTGGGGACACAGGAGTCATCATCTCAAGGTTCTACAAGGAGTACAAAGCAAGGGCAGAGTGGCAAAGAGGGGCCAACAGGTGGGCCATGGGAGAAGCAGCAAGGGGGAAAGTCATCAAGGGAGCTAAAGGGAGGAGGTGAAGACAGGGAGTGCCCCAAAGCACAGGTCCCAAGAGAAGTGGGGGTCCGGCCCTGCAGGAGGCACGAGAGGCGTGGGAGGGAGGAGGCCAGGAGGAAAGAAGGAACAGGCCAAAAAGAGAGCCTGGAGACTGATTAGGTAAAGGCTTAAAAGACATCTTAATTCACCTATTTATTTAAAATAAACAGGTGTCCTGAATGTGATTAGACTGAGGTGACAGTAACAGAAGCCCTTCCCTGCTCTCTACCTCATCTGAGGAACTGAAAGTGTGAGCCTACAGAACGAGGGATGGCAAGGTATGTGCTGGGCACCCTGAACACACTGCCAAGATGGGTGGCACTACCCCCACTTTTCAGATAGCTGAGGAATGGATGCTCACGTCATTCAGCTTACCCATGTTTACTTTTAGGACATGTCGTCTGAAGACCCCAGTGTGAGGACAAAAGGGATCCTAAGATGCATGGAGTAGATGAGGCAATGTGTACCTCCCCTGTGAGGAAGGAGATGGGAGTGCACCCTAGGAGCACAAGATGGACCCCTGAGAGAAGAGGTCATCCAGAAGGGCCCCAGCTGCCCATGGGGAATGAACTAGGGAAGCTAAGGGAAATGAGCAAAGACCCAAGGGGTCAGGCAGCATAAACCTATGGTGGACGCAAGGAACATGCCTGGCTGTGCCCAGCTGTGGGCCTTCCCCACACGTGCATTTGGGGCTCATTTTTCCTCTTAAATGTCTTAAAGGTCTTTTTTTTTTTTTTTTTTTTTTTTTTTTGAGACGGAGTCTTGCTCTGCCGCCCAGGCTGGAGTGCAATGGCCGGATCTCAGCTCACTGCAAGCTCCGCCTCCCGGGTTCCCGCCATTCTCCTGCCTCAGCCTCCCAGGTAGCTGGGACTACAGGCGCCCGCCACCACGCCCGGCTAGTTTTTTGTATCTTTTAGTAGAGACGGGGTTTCACCGTGTTAGCCAGGATGGTCTCGATCTCCTGACCTCGTGATCCGCCCGTCTCGGCCTCCCAAAGTGCTGGGATTACAGGCTTGAGCCACCGCGCCCGGCCTTAAAGGTCTTAAGACCTTTCCCTCATGTCAACTGGAACTCAGAAATAACCTCCCTCTTCACTACCTTATCATCAACTATTCATTCAGAAAAATACTGAGCACTTTTTACTAACAAGACACTATTGTCAACATCAGGGATACAATACCAGTCCTCAGCAAGTTTTCATTCTAGCTGGAGATACAAAGAGTAACCAAGTCAACTGGTATGTATGACTTAGAGCAGCGAAGGGTGTTAAGGAAAATCAACCCGAGCGGGGAGCGGAACTGCAAGGAAGACACTGAAAGAGTAATGTCAAGATACAACTTACATTTTAGAAAAAGAGAAAAAGACCAGTCTTGCTGCTATGCAGAAAATAATCTGCAAGAAGCAAAGACTGCAAAGGCAGGGAGACAAGATAGGCAGCTGTTTCAGCAATCCAGGCTCAGATAGCTGAGGAATGGATGCTCACGTCATTCAGCTTGTTGGAAGCAGGGAGGGCCAGCACGGGGATACACACTGAGGGACGGACAGCAGGGCTCAATGACAGGCTGACGGGATGTGAAATGTAGGGAGACAGGAATGATCAAGAATGGCAAAGAATGGAGGATGAGGCTGGGCACAGTAGTTCACGCCTGTAATCCCAGCACTTTGGGAGGCCAAGGCAGGCAAATCATGAGGTCAGGAGTTCAAGACCAGCCTGGCCAACATGGCGAAACCCCCTCTCTACCAAAAATACAAAAAATTAGCTGGGCGTAATGGTGGGCCCCTGCAATCCCAGCTACTCGGGAGGCTGAGGCAGGAGAATTGCTTGAACCCGGGAGGCAGAGGTTGCAGTGAGTTGAGATTGAGCCACAGCACTCCAGCCCGGATGACAGAGTGAGACCTCATCTCAAAAAAAAAAAAAAATGGAGGATGGCCAGGCATGGTGGCTCAGATCAGTCATCCCAGAACTTCGGGAGGCTGAGACAGGGGGCTCGCTTGAGGCCAGGAGTTCAAGACCAGCCTGCACAACATGGCAAGACCCCATCTCTACCAAAAACTTTAAAAATTAACCAGGCATGGTGGCATGCACTTATAGTCTCAGCTACTTGGGAGGCTGAGGCAGAAGGATCATTTGAGCCCAGGAGTTTGAGGCTGCAGTGAGCTAAGATTCCACCACTGCACCCTAGCCTGGGTAAGAGAGCAAGACCCTGTCTCAAAAAAAAGAAAAAAAAAAAAAAAAAAAGAACGCTTAGGGGATGAAAACCAAGAGCTGTTCTGTTTGAGATACCCGTGTAAAGTCCAGATATGGACACTGAGGAGGCACTGGGAAACCCCAGGTAGCAGAGAATGAAGATACACATTTAGGAGTCAGGAACTTCTGGCTGGCATTTACACACCACAGATAGAGAAGGGATCCAATCCAGGCTGGGCCCGGGACTCGAGGAGGAAGCAGCAGTGGACTGAGGAGCAGCCAGGAAGGCTGAGGAAACCACGACGATGGGTGGAAGGCCAAGTGAAGGAAGTGTCAAGGAGGGAGCGCGCTGCTGCCTCCGACCCTACTGAGCAGGCAGGACAAGAAAAAAGGTCAAAAGTGACCAGACGTGGCTCGACGGAAACTGGTGGTGGCCTTGACAAGAACGATTTTTGGTAAGACAGAATTGTCAGCCTGAGAAGTGGAATGAGAGAATGGCAGGAGGGAAGAAGAAAGAGGCAGGTGTGAGTTCTGCTATGAAGGCAAGCAGATCAATGGGGTGGCTAGCAGTTGTTATGGGGTTAACTAAGGGAGGAACTTTTCTAGAAAAGGAGAACTTGTGCAGCATGCCTGTGTGCTGACCGGAGTCACCCAGGAGAGTCAAGACGAGCATGCAGGAGGGAAGGGGGAGCCACGGCACCCAAGGGAGAGGGTCCCGGATGCAGGTGGAGGGCAGCATCAGGAAGGAAGGAGACAGCCTGCCAGGCGTGGCAAGAGGAAGGGGTACGTGTGGGCTCACAAAGGGAGCTCCAAGCTGCATGGCTGCCCGCAGACATCTAGGACCCCAAACTCCTAGCCCCAAACAGGCACAGTCCAAACGGGGCCTGGTGTTTCTACCACCACCTTGGTGTCCCTGCTGCATGTGACCTGAGAGGCTTGGGTGAGGGCAGAAAGTCCACGTCTAACAAATGTGGCAGCCCCCGCTGCAGCCGGGGCAGGGTTCAGCAGTTGCTTTACCTCTCATTGGTGAACACAGACTCCCTGGGTTCATCTTCATCCTGATTTTCACTCAGCCCCTGCAGGAACCAAAGTGCACTTAGGTCACCCTGAAGAGTTCTCAACCCATCCGCCCCACTCCAGAAGCCCGGGCACCCAGGCCTGAGCCCTTCCAACAGGGACAAGGTCCAGTCCCACGAGAAGGAACCGACATGCCTTTCTGGGACCTGAAGAGCAGAGGTCTCTGCCTCCGGATTCCAGAGGACGTGAACACTCCAGGCTCTGCGCTCTGGGGCTGGGCCCTGCTTCCCCACCAGTGTTCTCCCAGCAGGCTCTGCAGGCTGAGCCCCACTGCCTGGAAGTCAAGACACAGGCCTGCTGGCAAACCCAGTGTCCCTCACCTCTGGTATAAAGGTCGAAGGCCCAGAAAACAAGCAGAGGTAGAATCTGAAAGGAGAAAGTGCAACATGAGAACTGGGTGGAGAAACCCCATAGGGAGACAAGTTCTCGCCACCCTGTCTCCCCACCCCGCCTGCCTGGACCCTGGTGACCCACACCCCAACACTCCTCTGCACCACTGAGTGGCCTGAAAGGGCTATGCCACTACCCTCCATCCTGCAGCCCAGGCAGCACACCAGCCCCCAGCGCTTACTTCTTTGCTTTGGCACTGTTAGGGTAGTCCACCACCATGCCACCGGAGAAGCCCGCCTTTGTGGCCTGGGTTGTGATCAGCTCCAACTGAAGAAAGAAAGGCAGTGGGTCATGCAGCGGAGGCGAGAGGAGCAGACAGCTTTACCTCCCTCCCCTCCTTCAGAAACCAGTCTGCCTCAGGACGATTCCTGCCTGGGAGAACTTAAGGTCGCTGTAAGCCACGTAGAGAAAAGTGCAGGCATGGCCCACACCTCGCTCAGGAGAATTACGGAACAAAGCTACTCCCCTCATTCTCACTTTCCAGCGCAGGTACCCAGCTCTCCACTCAAGTTTAGGAAGGAGATGGCCACAATTGGAAGCCAGACTCATTCATGTTATTAGTCAGGGACAGCTCTTCACTTATCTTTCAACATCTACATCCTGCTCCGCCATTCCTTAATTATACATCACACAACAGACAACTGTCGGTGCCCTCTCCCCCTTCCTAAATGGCATTCACTTATTTGGTTATGGAAATTAGTCGTATCATCTTATCTATAATACCATGTCATCTGCCAAGGGAAGACATCCCACCCCACCTCCGCAAATGCCACCCCCTTAGGATATCAGGTCATCAAATGTGCCATCAGGGGCCACACTAGGATGCGTGTTTTCTCCTTTTCCCGCCAATCTGCATAAGGTTCTGTGTCGCTTCCCCAGGACAGCTTACCTGTTGAGTCTCCCCGCTCCCCTGCACACCCAGTAGCCAAGGGACTCACCTGCTCTGAGTTCTCAGGGTATAGCTGCAGGACAGCTCGGGATCCCCGGACCTGAAAGAAACAGGAACATCACTGTCTTACAAATGACCGCATCAGCTTAGGGCCTGGACACCCTCCCTTCCTTCATTCACCGAGTATTTCCTGAGTTTCCATTATGGATGAGGCACCTCTGTTAGGGCTAGGGATAGTCATGAACAAGAGATCAACCTGAACTTTGGAGCTCACATTTTAGTAAGGGAGGCAACTCATTCACAGTAGCAATTTTTCCTTTGTTCCAAAAAGAGGAATTGGACAAAGTGACAGTTTCCTTTCGGTTCAGTTTACTTTCGGTTCCAAAAGGTCTGTTTCAGATGGACACTTGAGCAGAGATTTGAATGGAGTGAGGAGCTGGCTGTTTAAACGTGGAGGGGAAGAGCCTTCCAGCAGGGAGAAGAGGAAACATAAAGACCCTCGGAACTACAAAATTAAGCCAGTACGCCAGGAGGAAAACTCATGTGACACACAAGACCAGTGGCCAGATCGGCAGGGGCAGTCCACCCCACGCAAGACCAGTGGCCAGATCGGCAGGGGCAGTCCACCCCACGCAAGACCAGTGGCCAGATCGGCAGGGGCAGTCCACCCCACGCAAGACCAGTGGCCAGATCGGCAGGGGCAGTCCACCCCACGCAAGACCAGTGGCCAGATCGGCAGGGGCAGTCCACCCCACGCAAGACCAGTGGCCAGATCGGCAGGAAAGTCCACTCCATGAAAGACCAGCGGCCAGCCGTCGGCAGGAGTGGTCCACCCCATCAAAGACCAGTGGCCAGCCATCGGCAGGAGCAGTCCACCCCAGGAAAACTAGGGGTGGGCTGGACCAGGCTAAGGAGGCAAAAACCACTCAGATCCTTCAAAACGGACTCATTTTTAAGCTGGCACAGTGGCTTACACCTATAATTCCATCACTTTGGGAGGCTGATGCAGGAGGATTGCTTGAAGCCAGGAGTTTAACACCAGCCTGGGCAACATAGCTAGACACCATCTCTAAAAAAAAAGAAAGTAAAAAATTAGCCTGGCATGGTGGTGTGTGCCTGTAGCCCAAGCTACTTGAGAAGCTGAGACCAAGATGTCGAGGGCGCAGTGAGCTACCATCATACCACTGCACTCCATCCCAGGCAACAGAGCAAAAGTCTGTCTCAAAAAAAAAGTAAGATTTAAAAAGAACTCATTTTTAGGACTTAAAATCTCAGACTATCATCTAATCCTAGTGAACAACTGAAATTAACATCATTAGTTAAAAAGGCAAGATAAAGCTAATATAGGCTCTCTCTGCGGTAAATAACTATCCTGTTCCCCATCCGAGGAAAAGGATCAGAATTAGGTGGAGGGAGAAGTGAGGAGTCAGAAGCACGTGGGCACTTTGGAAGGTACCCCTCTGGATGGTCTCAACACGACATCTCTTGTCCTCACTCTGCTCAGTCCATGCCCCCAAACCAACTTCTGATCCCCAAACCAACTTCTCATTAAAACTCAGAGTAATAGACATAGGAATACCAATCAACAGAAGTAGGCCCTATTACAAGTTACTAAATTGGTCTCCGATTTTGCCATCAGTGACTTCTGGGTTTGATTAGCGTGTATCAGTCCACTGAGCTTGAACTTCTTTAGGCTGAGAACCTGGACAGAAGCAACCACAGTAAGGTCCTGCGGTCCCATGTGAGTAGCGTTCCCATCATGGGACACCTCAATTTCCTCACTCTACCTGCAGGGCTATGGAGGGACAGGCAGCTAACCCAGATGGGGAGAAGATCTTATACTCACGAGAACAGAAAAAAGAGAAGCAAAAAAGCAGTACAGGCGCTTGGCAGGGTTTTCAGACTTCTTGTTAGCATTACACAGCCACTGCACAGCAGAAATGCTAAAAAGGAACGGACCTAGTCAGGCAAGGGAGCAATCCACATTGCTCCCCTCACCGCTTCAAGCTTCTCGACATCATCCGTCTTGGATCTCCAAGAGAAACCCCTCCTCCCACAGCTTCCCTTCTTAGAAAGTGCAGGTTCAGGCCACGTACAGTGGCTCACGCCCTGTAATCCCAGCATTTTCTGAGGCCAAGACAAAATTGCCTGAGGCCAGGAGTTCAAAACCAGCCTGGACAACATAGCAAGACCCCATCTCTACTCAAAAGTATTTTAAAGTTTAAAAATTTAAAGACAAAGAAAAAAGTGCAGGTCCACTGCAGGTCATGATTCTACAACACTGGGAAAATAGGACATACAGAAGGACAGCATTCATGTCCCTCAGTCAGTCCTAGAAACCTTTCCTCAACCTTGTTTCTATCTGCGTCTCAACTTGAGAATTCCTCCGTGTCAAGACCGTCTGCCCACACACCCCTCTCCTTGTTCCCTTCCTCCAATCCAAGGAAACAGGCTTTAGACTATTCACACACACACAGCCACCCCATCACCCTTCCTCTTAAATCACTCCCTTCCACTCTACCTGTTAAATGTTTACACAACCCCCAGATTTAAAACCTCAAGCGGCTGAGCACGGTGGCTCACACTTGTAATCCCACTATTTTGGGAGACTGAGGCAGGTGGATCACCTGAAGTCAGGAGTTTGAGGCCAGCCAGACCAATACGGTGAAACCCGGTTGCTACTAAAAATACAAAAATTAGCTCGGCGTGGTGGCATGTGCCTGTAATCCCAGCTACTCAGGAGGCTGAGGCAGAAGAATCACTTGAACCCAGGAGGCGGAGTTTGCAATAAGCTGAGATTGCACCACTGCACTTCAGCCTGGGCAACAGAGCAAGCCTCCATCTCAAAAAATAAACTAAAAAAACCCTCAAGCAGTCACTATGTCTTCCTTCCTGCCCCTCCCCTCCCTCTGCTGTACACACACATGCAGAGCCCTACCTCCACTCCCACTGCCTCTCCCAACTTTCACGTTCCCCCACCAATGCTCAGCGCTACCAGCTCAAATGTTTCCACCTAACTCCCTCTCCTCTTCCATCTGAAAATCACCTTCCTTAAACACACATTTGATCCCGTCACCTGCCAACTCCCCATCATCCATCAAGCCCAAACTTCTTAGGACATACTTAAGTGCCTTCTAGGAACCAACCATATACAACGCCATCTTCTGTGGAATCTCTCATTCATCACTCTCATCTCAGACCCTTTTCCCACTAGCGTCAGTGCCTCTGCCCACTGTTCCCCACTCGGAAACCCTCTCCTTGACTATCCAAATTCCTCCCAGCCTTCAAGGCGCAGCCCCTCCACCCAAGGCTTTCCTGTGCCCTGGCAGCCCCACGACTCTCTAGGGCACACACCACTCACGGCCTTATATTCAGTTGCCTGGTCCAAGTCCTAAAGCACCTAATAAACAGTGGAGAGTATTAAACACAGAGACTGTTTCATTTCCCCGTACTCCACAGCAACTTGTATGTCTTACATGTAGCAAATGTTTACAAAAGAAAGTCTGGGCCGTGTGCGGTGGCTCACACCTGTAATCCCAGCACTTTGGGAGGCTGAGGCAGGGGGATCACAAAGTCAGGAGTTCAGTACCAGCCTGGCCAACATGATGAAACCCCGTCTCCACGAAAATACAAAATCAGCCGAGCATAGTGGTGAGCGCCTGTAATCCCAGCTACTCAGGAGGCTGAGGCAGGAGAATTGCTTGAACCCGGGAGGCGGAGGTTGCAGTGAGCTGAGATCGTGCCATTGCACTTCAGCCTGGGCAATAGAGTGAGACTCCATCTCCAAAAAAAAAAAGTGTGCTATACCACCTCACCTCTCCCCCAAGACAGACAAAACTGACCACCCCCTTCCGAAACATACAGACCATACTGCTGGCCTTCGGCTTTTCACAGCTTAGAACACCTCACCTGACCATTACCAAAAAGCATCTGCTACCCTTGAAATTATTCCCCAACCCCTCTGGGTCTTGTTCCAAGATGTAAAAGGAAAATCTTCTAATCCAAATTTTTACCTCTCACCTGGCTCCCCACTTCACATCCCCACCACTCAACCTAGGGTAACCAAAGGAGGTCGCCCCTATTTTCTTACCTTCACTCTCACACTGCACCAAAAACTACACAGAACTGATTGCAGCAGCCTAAGGATTTTAACGCTCTAAGATCTGTTATCAAAGTGCTATGCCGATGTTTAATCCAACCCTGATTACAGAGAAAGGACTCTGGAGCACTGAAGAGATTAGAGCAAGCCCAGCCGCTCTCCACCACAGTTATTTGTTGGCAAATAAAGATGGCTGTTGGGGCCCACAAGATATCTGCTAAATGGCTGCTAGAGGCTAAAAGACCACCTCCCCTCCCCCACCAGACACACAAAGCCAACATAGAATCCGTACCAGTGGTGCCTGAACCCGGCAATGCAAAATAATCACAATAGTAGACAAGTTTTACTTTTGAGATGAAGTCTTGCTCTGTCGCCCAGGCTGGAAGTGCAGTGGTGTGGTCTTGACTCACTGCAACCTCTGCCTCCCAGGTTCAAGCAATTCTCCTGTCTCAGCCTCCTGAGTAGCTAGCTGGGACTACAGGTGCCCACCACCGTGCCTGGCTTTTTAGTAGAGACTGGGTTTCACTGTGTTGGCCAGACTGAAAAGTTTTAGAATCCAGAAAAATACACTCTTAGGCCTTATTCTAACCTTGTAAATCTGAAAATCCCATGGGATGTGTATTTGTAAATATCTGCGTGACTGCTGCACAGCCAGGTTTGGGAAGCACTGGCCTGCAGGACTAAAAGCAGGAAGTGGCCGGGGTGGCTCACACCTGTAATTTCCAGCATTTTGGGAGGCCCAAGTGGGTGGATCACCTGGGCAACATGGCATCTCTACAACAAATACAAAAAAAAAGTAAGCTGATCGCGGTGGCTCACACCTGTAATCCCAGCACTTTGAGAGGCCGAGGCGGGTGGATCACGAGGGTCAGGAGATTGAAACCATCCCAGCCAACATGGTGAAACCCTGTCTCCATTAAAAATACGAAAATTAGCTGGGTGTGGTGGCATGCTCCTGTAATCCCAGCTACTTGGGAGGCTGAGACAGGAGAATCACTTGAGCCTGGGAGGCAGAGGTTGCAGTGAGCCCAGATCACACCACTGCACGCCAGCCTGGTGACAGAGCAAGACTCCGTCTCAACAGAAAAAAAAAAAATTAGCTACGTATGGTGGCATGGGCCTATAGTCCCAGCTACTCAGGAGACTGAGATAGGCAGATCACCTGAACCCAGGAGGTGGAGGCTGCAGTGTGAGCCGTCATCACAGACACTGCACTAGAGCCTAAATGACAGACTGAGACCCTGTCTCTAAATAAATAAAAGCAGGAAGTGAAGACCCTCACCTGATGCAACCGTCAAATGTGCCCGGCTTGAATGGGATGCCCTGGCCCATATCCCCCAGCAGTAGGTCTCCCTCTATCTCTCGGTCCACGGCCTCATCTACGTTAGAGAAAAGGCAATCAGAGAAAGAGACAATACCTGTGGCTTCTCCACACCCATCAGGGTAATCCACCCTGGTGCCAGACAGGACATACTTACCCAGCATGGCAGGGCTGATATCCAGGCCCACCCAATAGTGCCCTTCATCTGAGAGATAACTTCCACTCAGCCCAGTGCCACAGCTGGAAGACACGATCACAGACTCACGGTCAGTTTGCAAAGGTACTTCACCACCTTAGACATTCTGAACCAGGCCCCAGAATCTCACCCAATATCCAGCAGGTAACAGGGCTTATTCTCTGGCAGATAAAGAAGCTCCAGTGCTCGCCCAGCCATCCTGGTCTGGATATCAATCATCCGTGAGCTGGGAAGGCAGAAACACAAGTGGACATGGTAAAGGAGTTCTGGGTGAATACCTCCCCCAGACCAAATAAAGAAAAAAAAGCCAAGTTAAAAAAAAAAAGGATCAATCATCCCAAGGTACTCTTTTCTGACCCCTTCTAAGTTGGGATCAACAAATTCAACTATTTAAAAGTGACCCCCAAATTCCATGTAATTCAGGACCATGTTATTTTGTGGTAACAAATTATCACTGTACCAGCTGCCAAGCAGATGTGTAAAAAGTAAATCACTTTCCTAATAATAAACAACCATTGGGGCCGGGCGCGGTGGCTCAAGCCTGTAATCCCAGCACTTTGGAAGGCCGAGACGGGCGGATCACGAGGTCAGGAGATCGAGACCATCCTGGCTAACACGGTGAAACCCCGTCTCTACTAAAAATACAAAAAAAAAAACTAGCTGGGCGAGGTGGCGGGCGCGTGTAGTCCGGAGAATGGCGTAAACCCGGGAGGCGGAGCTTGTAGTGAGCTGAGATCTGGCCACTGCACTCCAGCCTGGGCAATAGAGCGAGACTCCACCTCAAAAAAAAAAATAAAATAAAATAAAAAAAATAAACAACCATTGGGATCTGAACTCTATTAGGTTGGGCTGCTCTAGCATTTGTTGAAAATATTTTCTGCAAGAATTATCCTCCATAGTTTCTCTCATCTAGAAGGATCAATAATGCACAAAAACCTACAGCAGCACAGTCCATGAGAAACACAACACAAGCCACGTATGGCCTCCCAATAGCCAGTCAAAAAGAAACTTAAACTGGTGAAAGAAACTGGAGTCATATTTTTAACCCCATACATTTGATAACGTATTTTCTTTAACCCAATATGTTCAAAGTACCACTTCAACATATAATCGACATAAAAAATCAGCAGTAAGGACCGGGCCTGGTGGCTCACGCCTATAATCCCAGTACTTTGGCAGGTCAAGGCGGACGGATCCCGTGAGCAATTTACCAGATCCTTGGGCAACGCAGCAAAACCCCCTCTACACAAAAAAATTACACAAACTAGCCGGGCGTGAAGTGGTGCGCCTGTAGTTCCCAACTACCTGGGAGGCGAGGTTGCAGCCACTGCAGCACTTCAGCCTGGGCGACAGAATGAGACCCTGTCTCACACACACACACAAATATCAAGCTATTTCAGCCAGCGTGGTGGCGAGTGCCTCTAGTTCCGGCTACTGGGGAGGATGGCTTGAGGCTGCAGTCGGCAGGGATCATGCCATGGTACTCCTGCCTGGGCAACAGACAGACCCTGTCCGTAAAAAAAGAAACGGTATCCAATAGCTATTTATTGATTGACTGAGTCAGGGTCTCACTCTGTCGCCAAGGCTGGAGTACAGTGGTGCGATTGCAGCTCACTGCAACCTCTACCTCTCAGGTTCAAGAGATTCTCCTGCCTCAGCCTCCCATAGGCTGGCTAATTTTTGTATTTTCAGTAGAGACGGGATTTCACCACGTTGGCCAGGTTGGTCTCGGAATTCCCTACCTCAGGTCATCCATCCGCCTCGGCCTCCCAAAGGGCTGGGATTACTGGCGTGAGACCCCACGCCCAGCCAATACCCATTTACTTAAATAGGGCTAGTCTCTCAGTGAAAATGCATGGAAAAATCACAAAATACCTTTTTTTTTTTTTTTTTGAGACAAAGTCTTTCTCTGTCGCCCAGGCTGGAGTGCAGTGCCGTGATGCCGGCTCACTGCAACCTCCCCGTCCCGGGTTCGAGCGAATTCTCCTGCCTCAGCCTCCCGACTAGCTGGGATTACAGAAGTCCGCCATCGCGCCCGACTAATTTTGTGTTTTTAGTAGAGCTGGGGTTTCGCCATGTTGGCCAGGCTGGTCTCGAACTCCTGACCTCAGGTGATCCGCCCGCCTCGGCCTCCCAAAGTGTTGGGATTACAGGCGTGAGCCACTGCGCCCGCCTCCGCCCCCATCTCTTTTTTTTTCTTTTTTTTTTTTTTTAAAGACGAGGTGCGGTGGCTCACGCCTGCAATCCCAACAGTTCAGGAGACAAAGGCAGGAGGATCACTTGAGCCCTGGGATTGGACCACGTTGGGCAACACGGCGAGACCCCGTCGCTACAAAAAATTAAAAAAATACGCCACGCGCGGTGGCGCGCGCCTGTGGTCCCAGCTACTGGAGAGGCCGAGGGGAGCCACCACGCCCGCCTAATTTTTTTATTTCTGGGGAGAGACGGGGGCTCGCGACGTTGCCCAGGCTGGTCTCGAACTCTCAAGCTCAAGCGATCCTCCCACCTCAGCCTCCCAAAGCGCTGGGACTGCTGAGATTACAGGCGTGAGCCATCCCCACCTGGCCACAACTCTGTAGTTCGTACAAACCACCCTCTATGAAATTCAGACAATAACACACCAACCGCTGTCGCGAACATTTATTGACAAACAAGGCGCCACGATAAGCATCCTAGGGACACCAATTACTTCCTTCCCCCGACCAAGACTGACCCCTCGCCCGTACCCACCGCCCAGCGCCTCTTTTACCACATGCTTACGACAAGTTGTCACACTCGACTTTAAAAACCACCCACGGAAAAGCAAGCGCGATCACCCCTACCTCAACGCTGAGATACCGAGGCCCAGAGAGATCGGCAAAGTTGATTTACCAGAAACAGAAAAGGCACCCACCCGGGTCCTTCCCTCCCCGCACCCCCAAATTCCACGAGCTTTCCGGGCAACGCCAGCAACCGGGACAACTTGCCGCTTCCCGACCCCCGGACACCGCGCAGTACTCGGGCTCCCCTCACTTGCGAACGTATTTCCGGGCTTCTTTCTCATCATAAAACTGCAAAAAAAAAAAAGAAAAAGAAATGGCAGGTAGTGGAGGAATTCAGACGCGGCGGCCGTAGAAGTGGGAAGAGGGGTGTCCGCGGGCCCCGGAACTTACCAGCTCCGGTGGTCCACCGTGCTCCGGACGCCGGCCACGAGACGCCATACTCACGCCTCAGCAGCACGCCTGCGAGTGGCGGTTCCCGAAACCCGGTTTTTATGTCATCAGCCCGGCGACCGCTTGGTAATACGCATGCTCCACCCCTCCTCGCCCGCCCCCCTTACGTGATTGGCTACAGGGCGACCAACCGGCGCCTCTCATTGGCCAGTTTCTCTTGCACCGCCCGCCTAATCAATTCAAGATGGCAGCCATGCGCAGGGGATGGTGGTCGCGGCTGTTACCGTGGAGGTTGCTGCAAGCCCGTGGCTTTCCACTAAATTCTACACCCGGCCTGGGCCTGGGAGCGAGGACTTATTCTCAGGGCGACTGCTCGTACTCGCGCACGGCGCTCTATGATCTGCTCGGCGTCCCCTCCACAGCCACGCAGGCCCAAATCAAGGCGGCTTACTACCGTCAGTGCTTTCTCTACCACCCGGACCGCAACTCTGGGAGCGCGGAGGCTGCCGAGCGCTTCACGCGCATCTCCCAGGCCTACGTGGTGCTGGGCAGTGCCACCCTCCGTCGTAAGTATGATCGCGGCCTCCTCAGCGACGAGGACCTGCGCGGACCCGGCGTCCGGCCCTCCAGGACGCCCGCACCCGACCCCGGCTCGCCGCGTCCCCCGCCGCCCACTTCTCGGACCTACTACGGTTCTCGGGCCGCCCCCGGCGCCAACGGCACGATGTTCAACTTTGACGCCTTCTACCAGGCCCACTACGGGGAACAACTGGAGCGGGAACGGCGCCTGAGGGCCCGGCGGGAGGCCCTTCGCAAAAGGCAGGAGAATCCGTCCCTGAAAGGCCTCCGCTGGGAGGAGACCCGAGACGTGGCTGCCATTTTCCTCGTCTTCTCAATCTTCATCATCATCGGCTTTTATATTTAATCGGAGAGAGGAGGGAAGGGGAGTGTCCCCAGCCAACCCCCCAAAAACGGCCTTTTTTCCTGCCTCTGAACCCTTGGCCATTGATAGTCTAACCTCTGCTGAGATCCGAAGGAACTGTACTCCCCCTGCCCTCCCCGACCCGCCCAGCTTAGCCGATGACCTGCACATCCCTCCACTATGGTCCAGAAAAGGAGGTCTCTCGACGTTTAAGAAAAAGGCCCCACGCTGAAGTGTCCCGAAAGCCCAGGAGTTAAGGGGTTCCTGGAGTCTCTAGGGTACTTCTTCCAGAGTTTGTCTTCCTGCTTCCAGATGTAGTCAACTTCTGGAACACTCGCTGTAGCTTTATTGTAAAGCTCCGAGCAAGATTTATCTGCTCCTGCCCCACGTGTGTACGGTGGGCCTCCTCTGTAACCTTGAAATGTGCAATGTGACCAATTGTAGGCTGCCAAAAGAAAAGGTCCGGGGTTATACGAAACTTGTCTTTCTGTGAGTTCCCCAAGCCGCAGGTGAGACCTGGTCCAGGTTAAGAATGGGATCGGTGGAGAGCCTGCCATTCCTTCAGCTAAGGTCAGGCCCCTGGGGCACTCCCCCTTCTGTTGATAGCATGTGGGAGTGAGAAAACAAAGTCATTGAGCATAAGGAATGAGTGTTCCTGTGCCCGTATTTAATGTGTGACCTTGGAGAAGTTACTCTGTGGGCATGACAGCAGAGGAGAAAATCATTTGGCATCTTAAGGTCTGTCATGCTTTATTATCCATAGTTTTTGGGGTTTGTTTTGTTTTGTTTTGTTTCTGAGGTGGAGTCTTGCGCTCTGTTGCCTAGGCTAGAGTGAAGTGGTGCAATCTTAGCTCACTGCAACCTCCACCTCTCAGGTTCAAGCGATTGTCCTGCCTCAGCCTCCTGACTGTGTAGCTGGGATTACAGGCTCCCGCCACCACACCTGGTTAGTTTTTTGTTATTTTTAGTAGATACGGGTTTCACCATCTTGGCCAGACTGGTCTCAAACTGCTGACCTCAGGCTGTCTACCCGCCCAGCCTCCCAGAGTGCTGGGATTGCAGGCATGAGCCACCGCGCCCGGCCTATTAGCCATAGTTCTAATCCATAGGGATTACAGCATGATGCCAGCAGGGCCAGGTTCATCCTTGGGACAGTGTGGCTGTCACCTGGCTCTCCCTTTACCAGCCCCATTGCACACTGTGCAGCCCCTCCCCTCCCAGAAACAGAGTGACAAACTCTGCGCTTGAGTCCCTGTTCCTGTTTAACCTGCAATGCTTATCACAGGCCCTTTCTTAATTTTTTAGATGAGGCTGCTTGAGGCTGCAGTAAACTTTGGGGCTTTGGGAGTACACAGGACTACTGAGGGACGGGGGCTTGGTGTTTAAGGTGGAGACTTGGTTCTTAACGCAGAGCTGGCTAAAGGTGTGTTGTTTTTTCTGCTCTGTTTCTAATTCATGTTAAATAGTTGGTCATCACTTTGGTCAGAGCTGCTGCTGTAGCTCTCTTAACTGTGAGTCACTGGATGTCGGCAGTGAGCTGGCTGTGAGATTGTAGGTGCTCAAGTGTTTATGCACCGGACTGAGTGTAAATCTGTAAAAGGGGAAAATCCTCGCAAGAGGTCTATGAGAAGGATGAGGGCCCAAGTCTAGGGTCTAAAGAAAGCTAGGAGTGGTTTGGTATATTACTGAGTGCAATAATTGCATGCAATTCCTGCACTCAATATATTGTGTAAAATCCTCAGGTAGAATGGGATAAACCCACAGCTGGCCCTACTTGGCCTCTTGAAAACCATTCCATCATTGTGCCAATCTCTATCCGGAAAAGGAAAAAAAAAAAAAAAGGAAAACCATTCGATTATCTCTTGCCTTGGAGGTTGGGGTATGCTCCTAGTCAGGGCTTTGCAGCGACCATATGATGCAATAGTGAAGATCTGGGGCCTGGCACAACACTTTGGGAGGCTGAGGCGGGTGGATCGCTTGACCTCAGGAGTTGGAGACCAGCCTGGGCAGCACAGCAAAACCCCACCTCTACAAAAATCACGAAAATTAGCCGGGTGTGGCAAGTGCCTGTAGTCGCAGGTGCTCAGGAGGCTAAAGTGGGAGGGTGGCTTGAGCCTGGGAGGCTGTGGTTGCGGTGAGCTGCGATCCTGCCACTGCATTCCAGCCTGGGCGACAAAGCCAGACCCTATCTCAAAAAAAAAAAAAAAAAAAGATTTGAGCCCAATCTGGTTCAGACCTGTTTGGCTCAGTGAGCCTGTACTTGGGGGGAGGGGATATGTCCTTTTTAAAAGAACATATATTGTTACTATGTTTCATATTTGGAAAACAGGACAGAGACTTTTTTTTGGAAAAACAAACTGCACCAAGTGGAGTTTAGCAAAATGTTCTGAAACTAGTGCCTCTCAACCAATAAAGCAGGCGCAATGGAAACAGTAGGGCAGGGGCTTTTTCTTCTAGGGAAACAGGTGGCCTTGTTTTGATGTGGGTTTGTAAAGCACTAGTGGTCTAATAGCATGGGCTCCTTGAGCTCCACCTCTGAAGTTTGTTTTCTCAGTCAGGATCCCAGCCAAGAACGTTCCCTGTGAGCCCCAGAACCTAGGGTACATAGAAAGGTCCAGAAGGTTCAGACTAGGGGTGGGTCCAGACTAAGGTAAACTTCTGGGACATTCCATGAAACTCTAAGCAAAGTATTGTATAAAAACCATCATCCAACCCTAAGCCTCTCCCCTGGTCCAGAACAAGGCCCAGTCCATAATGCCCATCCCTTTACGCCTCAGCGTTTTGTAGGCCAGAGCTAATCTCTGAGGAGCCCCACTCCCTGCCTGCCCTGAAGCAGCCTGTGCTCTTCATGGAAAGGGGAATGTGTGGGAGGCTTTTTGAAGGACCCCCAAAAGGTTTCCATGGTCACATTTCTCCCCCACCCACTCGGATTGGCTTCAGTCTTTCTCTGCTGCTACCTGGCAAGCGGAGGCTGAAATCGGCCATGACCTTAGCCCCTGCCTTCTAGGGGCTATTCCGTAATTCCTGGTTGTGGAGGATGGCTCAGTCATGCCCAGCCTTAGTCCTTTTTCTTTGTTTTTCACAAACAAGCAAAACTCCCTAGAAGTTTGGACCTAGGATGCGAGAGTAGGGTAAAGGGGCCCAGCCTGGCCCAGGCTGTGCTCAGTGCGGTGGGGAGGGGGTACAAGTATAGCACGAGGCCAAGTGAGCAGCAGGCGTGGTTCCTAAATGGGGAGGCAGGCCACAAGACAGGAACCAAAGGCGCACATGTCTAGGCAATTGTGGTGTCGTCTTTGGGCTTGACTGGGACTTTATTTCTTCTGAGCCAAACTGCTCTTTCTCCTCTGTTGCCCTTTATTTATTGCTGGGTGAGATGGGCCTTTACAGATCCCAGTGTCGAGGAAGTAGGGTTTCTCCTTCTTCCTTCTGAGGTTCCGGCATTTCATTCATTGAGTGCACTTCTCTATGAGCCAAGTTGATTGGGAGTAGCTTACCTCAGGCCACAGAGCTGTCCTACTGGATCACGATTGACTCGGAGTGGCCACCAGCACTCGCTTTTTTGGAAATGGAAGAGGTCTGTGTTTCAAACGGTTGGGCTTCCTGGAAGGTCGCCAGACCCCGTGCAAACAGGCCAAGAGAGGGACGGCTGGTAAGTGGTGGTGCTACCTCAGTTCACACTCGAATTCAGTGCACTAGAAAAGCTGGCCCTGTCCTGGCCTTTGCCTCCTCTCAGTTCCTCAGCACCATGATGAAGTCACACACTGCCACCTGCCCATGGGGAAGATCATGAGGGAAAGCCAGGCACAATGGTGTGCACCTGTGGTCCCAGTTACTTGGGAGGCTGAGGCAGGAGGATCGCTTGAGTCCAGGAGTCCAAGACTGTAGTGTGTAAAGATCTCGTGTATGAATAGCTGCTGCACTCCAGCCTGGGCAACACAGCAAGACCCCATCTCTAAAAAGAAAAACACGACGCCGGGCGCGGTGGCTCACGCCTGTAATCCCAGCACTTTGGGAGGCCGAGGTGGGCGGATCACAAGGTCAGGAGATCGAGACCACAGTGAAACCCCGTCTCTACTAAAAATACAAAAAAGGCGGGCGCCGTAGTTCCCAGCCTACTCAGGAGGGGCTGAGGCAGGAGAATGGCGTGAACCCGAGCTTGCAGTGAGCCGAGATCGCGCCACT